ATAAAAGACCCAGTTCTTCCTTGGCTATGCACCTGGAATTGCCATAGGAAGACTCTGGCTTCTCTGCATCCTTCAACATAAGCAAAAAAGCACATCAACTTTTTTTAAATTCCTGCCCCATGGATATTTTCAAGTACCAGCATCCCTGATTACTGATCCTGTTGGCTAAGGCTACTTGGAATTGTCATCCAAAAACATCTGAACTTCTCTTTTATTTGTTTGTTTAAAAGTTCACCCACTTTTTGTCATTAAAAACAACCCCAAAGCAGAAAAGCAAACAACACAATTAAAAACTGTTTCCAATGCATTGAAAGCCATTAAAACAACAGCAATTTAGTAAAAAGCCTGTAAAAGTAGATGTTTAAAGTTATAAACAGTTTAAAAACTATGAAAGAGAACAGGATTATGTTGAATCAGGTCAAAAGGCACAGCAGGTGCTTAGTCAAAAGACAACTCTTTCTGCATCCAATTCCTATATTCTGGGTAAGAAGTCATAACTAAAGGCATCTTGAAGTTTAGAAGTCTTTGCTATGAGAAGCTATCGGAAAATGCCCAGCAAATAAGTCAGTTCAAAAATATGTGGATAAAGGTTGATAACAACCAGTTAAAAATAAAATATTTCCTTCAAAACTTCAGTCTGCTAGTATATAACAAAAAATACTTGATTGCACAATGCTGATCCTAAACGTATGCAAATAAAAATAGTACCATGAGATCATGTTCCATGCCATGGTTAGTTTACCCAGGAGAATTAAATTCTTCCTGGCCTGTACTCTGAATAAGTGCAGCCCAGAAGCAAGAAATCCACATGGGAGAAGCGAATTAAAGTAAGGACAATTATTCTAAAAAGTGAAAAACAGGTAGGGAATTAGAAGTCTACAGTTTAACTTCATTTAGCTACACTCATAAACCAATTAAACCTTAATTTCTTAAATTCATATAGAAGGAAGAAAAATCAACAAAAATAGCTGTTTTTAGGAAAAGTCTCCCTTTATTTCTCTCTCCCTCCTTCTCTCTCTCGTGAAACATGTCACTCCCAGTTAAATATGGGTTATTTTCCCCAAAAGACAGCTTCTCACAGAATTTTCTCTGAACTCTAAACAGTAATACAAACCATGGATTATATAGTTCATTGTTTATCTTATAAAAGCCAGAGTAATTGGCATTGACCCGTGGCATCTATTGAACTATATTACATTTGTCTGTAATAACCCATGGTCCACGGACTGCAAGCAGTCCTGGACAGCTAGTAATGCAGCCCAACTTTTAATGTTAAACTTTTAACATTATTATGTGATTTATATACATTAACTATATTATATATTTCATATGTGACTTCCCTCAGTGCAGCCTTGGCAAGTCAAAAGGTAGGACACTCATAATCTAGACAAATGTGTCGCAGGTACTGTATCTTCATTAACTTAAAAGTTATCTATAAATTTAACGTATTTTAACCTGAAACACACACATTCTTCTGGTACTTATCTCAGGTGCAATATGGTCCAGAAGTATGATGAAGTAGCCTGTTTTACTCTGAACAATGAATCCTCTAATCACCTGCAGTTCCTCTAATTTCCCATGTTTCTATTAAATCCAAATAGAAGATGTCTTGCCCTTTTCTGTCCAATTTACTTTACAAGAGTTGTTGCTGTGAAGAAAATTAGGTGGAAAGACTGCTGTATATGATATCTTCAGCTCCTATACAAAGGCATGATATAAATCTAATCAATAAAATTTGATTGTGGCACAGGGGGCGATTCAGATCTGGATGGGACAGCCATAGGGTCTACCCAAAGATGGAGATGTAAAAGTACATATATTGCTTTATAATAACAAAGTAAAGGCAAAAGTATAAATATATTCAAACGGGCATGAGAATGAAACCAAGTCTTTCCCAAACTGTGAGGACCTCTGGATATATTAAGGCTAACCTCGAAGAGAATTCTCAGACTTGTACTCTCAAGTATACAAATACACAAGTACAAATGCATTCTGTGTCCCTGGACATGTTTTCTCATTTATCAAATACTGTACATCATTGTGAGACTCATTTGCTGAACATTCTTAAAGGTGCTAATAAGTATTATGGTGGTTCCCCGAAAATAAGACCCGGTCTTTTTTTGCCTCCAAAAGAGGCACCAGGTGTTATTTTCGGGGGGGTGTCTTTTCCACGGTGTCACCTTGCAGTGGTGGTACCAACAGTCCTGCCCAGCCAGACCATTTCTTCTGCGGCTGCTTGCCGCCACTCACGCGCATCACCCCCAGGCTCTGCAACTGAGAATGAAGCTCCGGATTGACGACGCAGCACCCCCACCCTCCATTTCGCCATCATAGGACTTCAGGAAAGGCCTCTGCAGCCAAGAACCGAGCTCCAGATTAATGCATGTGGTGCCCCCCGGCCTCCAAGGGCACCAGCCGCGTCAGTCCGGAGCTCAGTTCTCGGCTGCGGCTGCAGAGGCCTTTCCTGATGGTAAAATGGAGGCTGGGGGTGACGTGCGCGTGTGAGCGGCAACAAGCAGCTGCAGAAGAAGTGGGCCAGTGAGTGAGGCAGGTGTTAGGACATGGGAGGCTGGTAAGTGGGTGAAGGGCGCGTGGGGTAGCTCCATCCCACCATCCCCACCCTAGCTTGATTTTTAAGCATGGGCCTTGCCCAAAACTAGGGCTTATTTTGGGGGTAGGGCTTATATTAGGCTCACCCCCAAAAATCAAGCTAGGGGTTATTTTCAGGATAGGTCTTATTTTTGGGAAGCACAGTGTAAGATTCCAATACCCATAGTAAATGTACATGAAATCTAAATGCAGACATAACAGCAAAACTTCACATTGTCCAAAGAAATCCTCTGTGGATATTATCTGATCATCAAATAGAAGAATAAAAATGTCAGAGATGAATGGCAGCAAAGAGAAAGGACCATGATGTCCCTGTTGGTTCTGGACGTGATGACCATTACTTGTGTTTTCACTTCTGCTCTACAATTTGACAGGTACAGCCTTTTCACATCATCAAAGGGCATTGTGGGTTTTTTGTTTGTTTGTTTCCATGCCTTGGAATGCTGCTCATTGCTTGACTTTCTCTTCTAAAGTGCAAAGGTTTTTCGTGTGAAACCGCAAAATGAAAAGGAAGTAAGTGTCATGAAATCCTTGTCAAGCCTCATACAGGTGAGAAAATTTTGCAACTCAGATGCTTTGTGCCCTTTAAGGAATTTTGTAAAATGCATGCCTGTTCAAAAATACATGAATATTTTCTATTTATCAAAGTAATGTTTGTGTGTGTGTGTATTTCTGTTTGCATATACAGAAACCTGGATATGTATAAGCAATACAGATTCTTTGCCTGATAGAAGAAAATCAACTGTTTTGAATGCTTCCAATTTTTTAATATATAAAGGATTGTTAAAATGGTAGTATATCTCCACAGTTGAAATTTAATTAAAGCAGGAATGACTCCCCAATATACAATATATCACAGAGCAAGGCAGATTTAGACATCTGGAATATAGTTTTTAGTGCTCAAAGAGAAACTAACAAAATTACTAATGTTTAATACAAAGTTTAAATATTTAATCTGTGGTTAGTGGTTAGGGATGCAAATGAAATAAAGAATATATTAAGTTATTTTTTTTTTCTTCACTGTTTTTTATTTCAATATGAGGATGGAGGAATGTAACATCTTGCTTTTAAAACATTTTTTTGCATTTCTATGTTTGCATTTTTCTACTTTTTTTGTATTTATAAACAAATGGATAAAAAAGGAAAAAACAATGCCTAGTAAACTCAGTTAAAAACCTGTCCTCAGTTCCAAAGCCTGTGTGAAAGTTTGCAATATCTTATTATTATTCTTGTACATTTTTTCTTTTCCACCACAAAGATTTCATTTATCATATATTTTAAAATTCCAAACATCTAGATGATGCAACAGAAAAATTCTGCCCCCCAAATTTAAAACTAAGTTAATTTCTAAAATTAGAGAAACGGGAAGATGCAGTGGATGTTACCATTATCCACTAAATGTTACACTGCATTTTAGTGAAGAGTGATTTTCATAATAAGCATCAATAAATATACTTGGATGTCTGCCTGAAAATTACTGTGTAAGAATGAAGATGCAAGCATTAACAATTGCCCGTATGAATATTCTCACTATTTCCTGTGGTTTATTTTCTCTCCTTATACAGTATTTAAGAGAATTAAATTCATGCCAGACTGGCATTAAAAGCCAATTTGAAAGATTCACATTATCTTAAATTCTCTTTCAAGTTTAGTTGGATTCCTGGTGATTTCATGGATGTGCAGTTTGTGTTGTTTTGTTTTGTTTTTTGCAGCAGCACAAATGTGCTTTTCCACTGTTGGGATGTTTTTGTTTATTTAGAAAGCTTACACAAATACCTACTTTAATATTGGCCAATCCTAGGAATTTAAGAGGTCTTCCATCCAAGTACTAAACAGGCCTGACTCTATTTAACTTCCAAGCCTAGACAATATCAGCCACACAATACCATCTTCTGGGACTATATTTTCATTCACATACAGAAACTTTTCTCAGCCTAATATGGCTTTTATAAATTACAAGAGGAAAACAGTCAAAACTTTAAAAAGCGATCTAGTGTATGTAATAAGAAAATAGGTTTCTCTGGCTTTAGACCTTTTCTCATTGTTTTCATAACCCAGCAAACCCTGATTTTACTTCTAAACAAAGAATGCTTTATAAGTAGAATATAAACATGATGAAAAGCCTTTTCATGGGCTTTCTTTTGACTTGCCTTATGGCCTATGTATAATGTGGATTTTTTAAAAAAAATCCCTTGCAACTCAAGGTCTTTAACATGCAATGTCAAATAAGAACCAAACAACAGTAAGCAAAGAGTCCAACTCTATCATTCCAATTAAATTACATTACTAATTACATTATAAATCTAATACCATAAGGATTCCCTCTGTCTTTTCATTACCAAAGGCTGAATCTGTGGCAGAACTTGGCTAGAGAATGCATTCTCAAAACAAGGCTTCCTTCCAAGAAATACACAAAAGAATAAGACTGTTTGGAAAGTTCTGTTCCTGGCTTAATTTAATAATTAATTGTCATTAGGATTCTGAGCTGATTTACAGAGGGACTGAAGAAGCTGTAATCTCGAAGCTGCTTATTGTTACAACCCATTTTATGGCCTCCAGAAGCCTTTAACAACACTGATTTTTAGCTTTCCATCATAATAAACCTGCAGTAGAATGAAAATAAAACTTCAGAAAAAGCCAGCCTTTTCTATGAACATGACCAGACCACTTTGGATCTCCATGCCAACCCCTTTGGCTTTCCATGAAATCTGCCATGGATCCTCTGGCATTTTAGTCCAAACACCCAGATTCTTCCCAAACTATTGTTCAGTGGGCCACAACATCTGCCCAATAACTTTAACATCGATTCCCAAAGGAAAGCCAAATGGGTTGCTGAACACCCAAACATAGGAAGACATATGTGACCCCACAAAAAAGACACCAGGCTTTGAACTATCAAATCAGCAATGGACAATCCCAAATAGGATTCACACCCCACACGGCATCTGTCACGAATCTCTGTATAAATAGGGCATTGTATCCTCTCCTCAGAGTGAGTACAGGGCCCCACATCAAACTGTAAATTACAACATGACTGGCTGTAAGCTGAGAAGATATGCCAGTCCAGTGTTTAATTTTTTAAAATATAAACAAGGCTGTGTTTCAATGGTTAGATGGCCTAGACATTGGCATTTGAACATAGATCTTTTTAACATTTACATTTTATTGTGTTTTACTAATCTAGGCAAAATGTTAATATAAATTGCTAGTCCATGTATGATACGCTAAATAAATACATAGGTGGGCTGATTGTACAGCAGATAATAAAGGATCTAAACAGCAAGATTAAAAAATATTTCCTTAGTAAAGGCAACTTTGTCAGGCACAACAACGCTCATGAGACGCACACAATCAAGCATAGAAGAAGTAAGGTTCCCCCCTCACCCCAAAAAACCTGTTTCATCTACATTTCTGGAACAATATTGGTATCTGGTGGCCTTGCTAGTTTATGGGACTTTCACCAAGACTGTTGAATATTCCAGCAGCTGTTGCCTCTCATCAGTCCCCTATGGGGGAAAGAGAATGCTAGGATGAAAATGTCTTTTTTGAAACTCTGCCCACTTTCAGCTCTGGTCCTGCCTATTTTGGGCTCTAACATGTTTAACATTAGAAAAAAAGAATCCAAAATAGTTTTCAGCTGGCTTTATAATGAAAAGATATCCCAAATCTAGCATGGTAGTAGGAACAATGATTACAAGTCATAGTTTAATTTTTGATTGTTTAATTAAAATATTGTTTAGACTGCAGGTTGAGAAACACTGGTTTAGAGTGTCTTAAATGCAAAACCAAAACACAATTAGAGTAAAACGAGAAATGAAACCTTTCAGTTTCTTTCTCATCGTTGCACTCAAGAAGAGAAAAGGTAGCCTGAAATTTGGCCAGGCTTACCATCACAGTGCTAGGGATGTATATATATTATTCAATCTGTATTATGCAGTCTGATTCCCAATTCAGGGAGTAACAAATCAGAACAAAGTTCTTCAGTTTTCAATTTCAAAACATGTGACTTTCAGATTTTTTTAAAAAAAGTATATTTTACAAAGAGCTATATTTTAAATATAAATTAGCATATAATTGAGTTTTCATGCTGTTGTAACAGAGGCTGAAACAGGGCACAATGTATTTATATAAAACTAAAATTGATTGGTATGTGATCATTTACAGTCAAAATGGACTTTGTGGCACATAATCAATCCATTAAAATTGATTTATCTTTTTGTCTTCACAAAGCATTCAACTATGACTAGACATTACATATGAACTTGTTTTAGTCTTCACACTTCTCCATATCAGATAAAAGAAGTTGAACAGCAGCAGTTTTTGGGGGTGTAACTTTCATTTCTATTCAATCACAAGTCTTTTTGCATTTCTTTTTGTGCAGATTGATTTTTGGTACCCAGATACGGCACTGCATATAGTCAAACAGATGGAAGTAGATTTCCATGTCAGTGCTGCACAAAGTAATACTGTTGAGAGTCTCCTGCAACAGAATGGCATACCTTATGAGTAAGTTAAACTTCTCTATTTATTTCTCAGGTCTTTGGCTATGTACTTTTGAAATTGAATAGAGAGTGTACATGGGATGTGTCTATGTAATATATATTTATGAATCAGTGTGTTTCAATTAATTAATTCTCCCTTATTAGAAAATAGTGCTCTTGGATAGGAATGGTAAATTGCTCTTCTTCACTTGTAGCATCCTTGCTGAAAAAAAGCAATCCTCCTGGATTGTGAAAAAAAATTCATTCCCAGATAGAGTGGTGTGTTACTGCAGGACCAACATACAAAATTTCCCATGAAGTTAATATGAAAGATATCTGAAGAGTGGCTTCTTTAAAAAAATTAATTTATATGGCCTGCTCTAACAGATATGAATGATTCAAATACCACTGAAAGCAATGAAATAGTTTTGTCACGTCTAAGCCTATTGCCAATTTGAGGATCAGATTTAAGCTGGATGGGCCCCATGATTTGAAAGTTGTACAAAATCTGCATGCAGTATGCATTGAATAATTAATGTATGTTTAAATAAATATACAATAAATCAGTCTAAAGTAAATCAAAGTCTGCAGGTGAAATTTTTGTTAGTGTGGATTTGTCTGAATGCAAGAGATTTCTTGCTGTTCTTCATTGCTTTCTTTATTGTTTTAACTTGATGTAAGCCATTCAAAGTCCTTTTGGAGTTAATTGGCTTCTAAAATGCAGAAATAAAATGAGCTCAGGCTGAGTATAATTTTCTGATTATTTTTTTTATCATGTAGAATATTATTTGACAATCTACAAAAAGACATTGAAAAGCAGCTTGATGGTGACAAGAACGATGGACACAGCTATGAACAATATAATGAATGGGACAAGGTACAGAACTTATATGACATTCGACAAAGGAATGTTGAATCTTCAGCAGAAAGAATCCCCATTTATCAGAGACACTGGGAAGGGGGAGTCATGGCGCAATGGCTTAATGATGCTGGATTTGTCAGCTAGAGATGGTTGGCACTCCAGCAGTTTGACACCAAGACACCACGTGGCGGAGTGAGCTCCTGTCATTTGCCCCGAGCTCCTGCCCATTTAGCAGATCAAAAGTATATAAAAATGAAAGTAGATAAATAGGTATCACTTAAGTGGGGAAAATAAAGCAGTGTATAATGAGGAAGCAGGAGCGAGCACCAGACTTGCCTGGATTCTTCCAAAGTTGGTGGAAGAAAGCCCAGATGACCTGACATATCCCAAACCTTGCTAGTCAGCTGGTGCAAAGCTAGTTCTCCCCTTGTGGTGTACTGTGGATAGAGTGCATACGTGAACAAAATGAACTAGCAATTTTAGGCTGCCAGTACTATTCTGTGGTAAAAAGCATTGTAGACTTCCCTGGCTATATACACCATGCACTAAAAAAAGAGAGAGAGAGAGAGAGGGAGAGACATTAGACCATTTGCACTTGTTTGTAATTATATTTGAGTTTACCACTTGGGTGTACATGCATCCTCTGAAGCATGAAGAGTGCACTTGGTGGCTAAAACTGAGCCTAGTTTAGACTATTACCTAAGGAGTCTATCAAAAATGCATGCAAAAATTTTTCACACAGGATTGGACATGTATCTTTTTAGTACTTGGCATATTTCATGCAAGGATTAAGCTACAGCCACAACTACATGAATTGAAGAAATTGTCCTCTATCATTATTATTGCATTGTCCATTTTTCTTCACAGAGTTGTCAATGTTTTTACAGATTCTATTCTTCTACTGCATTTACCAGATGCTTCATCTAAAGCAGTGTTTTATAAACTTGGCAACTTTAGGATGTGTGGACTTAAACTCCCAGAATTCTCCAGCCATCGGGAGCTTGAAATCCACATATCTTAAACTTGACAAGTTCCTTCTCCCAAAACTTAGTAGAATTTATAAATATAATTCTCTAGCAAAAGCAAAATTTTCAGGCAATAATATTCTTTTGAACTATTTACCCAGTACCTCGAATTTGATAACTGAACAATGTAAATGTGCCCTTATTATGAACAAAAGACTGATATTGCAGTATTGGAAAGATAAATGTAGGCCCTCTTTCATTCAATGAATTGAGAAGCCAATTACACTTGCTATAGGATTGCCTATAAAGGAAAACTTTGTATGGAAAAATATAATGAAATATATTCAAATATAATTGAATAATAATAGCATTAGATTACTAATTATAGAATTGCAACTATTTATTGCTAAAATGATATAGATTTTTTTTTTTCCCTTGCTGTATTTTTTTTAATTTTAAAGCACTTTCTACGTGGGTATTTTTTCCTCTTCTTTGACAACGTGTGTATTTTTATTTTTGTTTTTTTCACCCTTTTTGTTATTTTAAAAGCAATAAAGAGTATACATAAATAGAAAGTTGCCTAAAAAACCACTGCTCCACAGCAATAGATAATAGTGGTTTTTTTTATTTCTATGGTGTAAAAAAGTATCACTTAATTTTGTCAGAACTGAAGAAGCTTCTTGGATGACAAGTAAAATGTTTTCAAGGAAAAAAACAAGTCCAGTTGCCTTTTGGAAAAGTACCTTTGGGACTATTACTCACGTATTTGTACAAATCAGATTTAAAGATAAGACAGGTATATTTTTTTACCTTAAATGGATAATCAGAAGTTTAATGAATATGGGTTCCTTCAGCAGATACTAGACTAGTCTTCCTGATTTCAGTATCCCTCAGCTAAATTAAGGCCACATTTCTCCAAATTCTGGCCAGTATATCATTGGAGATTTGTAGTATCACAAAGCTGAAAGCCATTAAAATGGGGAAGGTTATGGTAACAGGTATGAGATCATTTGTTATTTAATGACCTGGTATCATATGCCTTATCTACAATTAGAAAATCATCTTACTCAACTTATAGGAAGAGAACTATGTTAATCAGTGATACCAAAAAGAACAAGAGTCTGGCAGCACACTGTCCAACTAAAAAAAAAAAATCATTTAATTTCATGGGCTATTTCATCAACTGCTTTTCCAGCAACCCTTATTTTTCTTTTACCCAGATTTCTGATTGGACTGCCAGAATTGCAAAAAACAACTCAACATTGGTTTCCCGTATCCAGATTGGGAAGACATTTGAAAATCGACCCATATTCCTTCTTCAGGTATGAAAACCTTTTCAGGAAAATAAGCAAAGAACAGATGAAATTGTGTTGAAAAACTCTCTTACACATACACCCAAATTCACCACCCATATCTGGGGGAGGATTCAAACAATCGTTTGATTAGTTCTAAAGCTAGCAGGTTACAGTGAGTCACTGGTCTCTTGCATTCAGAAGAGCCAACAGCAAAAGTCTCAAAGTCACATTGTTCTTATATAGAATGTTGATCAAGTATTTCAGCCATGCATCTACACTAGCAGAAGATCCCAAATGAGGGAAGAATTTCTTTACAGCTATTGAGAGAAAATAGCCAAGGACAAAGAGAAAATAGCCAGAAAGGAGGAAGTGGGTATCTTTCATGGTGTGAAAACATTACAGACACATTCTCTGAAAAGCTACATAGAATCTTTGATATGACTTGCACCAAAGCTTTGTTATTGCATGAGAGATAACAAAATGTGTTGAATCTATTTCCTCCTCTAAAGACATTGAATATACTGCCTCCTCTGAATGTGTTAATTCCATAATCAATTAATCAATAGGTACAAATTAACACACTAAATTCTATTCTTAAAAGTGCTGCAAAAGAAATACAGCAAAATACACGTATTTAGTAATACATTTGTATTAGTAAGCATAATTGATTCAATATGAGTTCTTTTTCCAACTCTCTACAACATGACGTTATGTGTCATGCTAAGCAACCATGCAATTTGTTCAGTTTTAGTTTAGTACTCCACTAGTGCAGCCATCTGATTAACAAATCATGATTGGTTTATGGTCAAGAACATGATATCATTCTTTTTTTCCCTGAACGGAAGACCAATAAAGTACTCCATACCTCATTATATTTTACATAGCAGATGGGGTCAGAATGGGTAGTGGGTGTTGTTAAAATGAAAATTATATTTGCTTTCATTTCATTTACAACACATAAAATTGAAATTAATTAAATATATATAATACAGTTGTTTCCATATATATATAAATATTCTGCTTCTATCACATTGAACATTACCAATGAGCAGTAACTTCTGGAGATCTTTCAAGATCACAGCTGCCCTGGGGCTTAAGGTTATCCATCTTTGGCTTATTATGTAATTTTGCTCAATATAATAAGCATGACATGACAACCCAACAATAGAGTCATCCTACTCTTTCAATGAGACAACAACAGTGAAAAAAATGACTTGCATATACATTTCTACATACAAGAATTAGAATGAGTCTCTTAGAAACTATTTTTTCTTATTAGCAAAGCTATTTAAAAGTGAAGGTGGCAGAACAGAATGGATCCATCTGTAAGGAATAGTATAGTATTGAAGTGTACTTTCTTAAAAATCTCTTTTTTTTACTTTTTCAAAACAGATTGGAAAGAAAAATGAAGAGGGAAAGGCCATCTTTATGGATTGTGGTGTTCACGCACGAGAGTGGATTTCTCCTGCCTTTTGTCAGTGGTTTGTGAAAGAGGTTAATTAACAAGGATTTTTTTTGTCTCATTTGTTAACTGTCCTCCAAATGTGTTGAAACAACTTCTAGCATCCCTAGAAGTTCTTACTCACTCATAATTGTGTTTGTTTGTTTGTTTGTTTGTTTGTTTGTTTAGTTAGTTAGTTAGTTAGTTAGTTAGTTAGTTAGTTAGTTAGTTAGTTAGTTAGTTAGTTATAGCCACCATTATTATTTTTACAATAACTCAAAGTGGCAAACATACCTAATGCTTCTTCCTCCTCCTATTTTCCCCATAACATTAACCCTGTAAGGTAGTTGGGCTGAGAGAGAGTGACTGGCCCAAGGTCACCCAGCTGGCTTTCATGGTTAAGGTGGGAATTAAACTCACAATCTCTTGCTTTCTGGTCTGGTGCCTTAATCACTAGACCAAATTGGCTTTGATCTTTGATCTTGTGATCTTTGCACGCTCTATAACTCCAAAGATCAAAGCCCTTGTATCCCACTAAACAAATAGAAATGTGAATCATGTTTCTGTATTCTCAAAACAGTCCATCATGAATAATATGGAAAATAGATTCTATAATGTTATATAGTGTGATGAAGAATGCTGCAGTTCTAGATATACTTTATTTATAAGACCAACTGAGCCTAAATTTTGAGTATATAGGATCACAGAGAAATTTATTTTTTTTTCTAAAAAAAGTTATGTTTTCTAAATTATCAGGCCATCAGCACCTATGGAAAAGACCGGGACATGACATATATACTGGATAACATGAATTTCTACATCGTTCCTATAGTCAATGTAGATGGCTATGTCTGGAGCTGGACACAGGTATCATTCATACTTTTTAACAGCATAATCTATGTTTAGTACCTAAGCCATGTTCCTTGAACTAGCACTCCCAAACCATCAGTTAAAAATCAGCTTTTATTCTGAGAGGCAAAAAAGCATACATCAGAAGTCCTCTCTCCTGCCTGTCATTTCAAAAGCTGATGACCCATAATTTCACAAAGCTTAGGGGGGCTGAAAATCTGTAAGATTTTAAGTCCTGCTGGCCTTCTGGCACATTTTTAATGCCCTAGATCAATGGATATCCAGCTTTGTTTCATATATGGGGGAATGGGATCTGGGACCCCAGACTTCATAGGACCCTCATCCCCATTTTATAATTTTGGAGACCACTTTAACTATGAATTCAGAATTTTCTCCCATTATGAAGTGAAGGCATCAAAGTGAAACATCCTTTGATGATATTTCAGTTCTGAATACAGTAGAAATTTTGCATACTAAAAATATTCAGTGTATTCATTGGTTCGAAAGTAGAACAGTCTACTGAAATGAGTTGGAAAAAGTTAGTTATAACTAATCTAAACCATTCATTTCTGTAAACTACTCTGAGTTTATATCCAACTGCATGAATCATCTTACATTTGCTAATAAGAATAAAAATAGCTATTGAAAACAACAAAACAAAATTAATAGAAAGCAGAAATGATTGCAAATATCTCTACAGCAAGGAGCAGAAAGGCATAACAAAAGATATGTATAATGTTATAATATATCAAAATTAGTAGCAATACAATAATATCTATCTATATCCATTTATCTATCTATCTATCTATCTATCTATCTATCTATCTATCTATCTATCTATCTATCTATCTATCATAAAACAGTAATATCTTCAAGCCACCAGATTCAGCTTAGTTCAATATCTCTTTTAAATTATATATATTTGCTTCAGATCTAATTCAACCAGCTTCTAGCCAAAATCAAAGAGACTCGTGGAGAAAAAGAAAAATTATATGCAGCACATGAGCAGTTATGGGTGTTCCTAAAAGGACACATATCTGCTTCATGAGCTGCATTGGTTGCTGGTTTTTCAAGATGCAGGGGGTTGGACTAGATGACCTCCAAGGTCCCTTCCAACTTTATTATTATTATTATTATTATCCCATATTTCATTATAATATAACATTAGTAGTGAAAGGGAGGATGGATGCTTATTAAAATCAATTACCTGCTAAATGGATATGTGTGGATAAAACCATGTTTGGGAAAACTAATGAATTAGTTTTACTGCCATAATTGAAACATATCTAACCATCTTAGATACCAATCTTATAAGATTAGATCCTGCTAAGGCAAGAACCAGACAGATTTTAAGACCACCAAGGACTGCATCAAGAAGCAATTAATTCAGAAGGACAAAAATAAGGCATTCTTAGATTTAAATCCACTTGGACATATAAAAGCTCCTGATATTTTTCTAATGTAGTAGGAAATCTGTTGTTCTATATGCCTTGTTCTGGGTTTGAAGTATTGTACATTTTAATCTAGTCAAGCCATGCCTTTGAAATTTCTACCAAGTTAAGGCCAAAAGTCAAGATAAGCTGTGAAGTGTTAGAGAGCAGTCTAATCAGGGCAACTTGACAGAACCAAAGCTTAGATGGGGTCTTTTCCATTTGTAAGGACATTTGCCTAATGCAGGGGTCCCCAACTCTTGGTCCATGGACCGGTACCAGGCTGCAGCATGCCAGCAACTGGGCTGAACAAACAAGCAAAACCCCATTTGCAGAATGCAGGCAGCACACAAAAACATGCCCCCTCTGATCCACGGAAAAACCTCTCTCCACGGAACCTGTCCCTGGTGCCCAAAAGATTGGGGACCTCTAGTCTAATGGATCTGAGGATGCCTCTCTTCTTCCCTGCATTCTTTTACAGAACACTTGAACAAGCTTTTTATCTGAACTACATAGCAAAGAGTTACAGCTAAACAAGGGAATCAGGCTACCAAAGGAAAGCTCACTCAACACACTAGTTTTTCATTGCATTGTCTTTCTACAGAAAATTAATGCATTCCATTCGTAATTAGTATAAACAAAGAGAAAATATACAGAAATGTTTATGGGTCAGATTGAAGTCCCTAAATGATTTTTGTCCAGCAGGATCGTTTCTGGAGAAAGAATCGTTCTAATGCATCCCAGAGTAACTGCATTGGCGTTGACATCAATAGGAACTTTGATGTTGCCTGGAGCAGTAAGTAGCCTTTGTAACATTATCTATACCTGCATGTTATTTTCATATGACTAATCCAGATGGTGTTTCAGTAAAATTACTTAGATTGCCACTAGACGTTTAGAGCAAATAAAAAAGAGTTGGGTTGAAAATAGCATGTTTAATGAACTTAGGAACTAAGATTGAGTAAATATCTCATTTTTATTATCACCAAAAATATAAGTAATGCTCCTTAAAATATTATATAGGTCGTACCTTATCACAGTTGTACTTTCATCAGTTTTATGTCCAACATCAATTTCATGATGGAGCTAAAAGGATGAAAGAACAGGGCTTCATTTTTGTTACTCTTATAAAGTAGTACATACATTTTGGATACAATTCTTCAAATAGGACTGATAATAAAATCACCATATTAAGCATATACTACAAGTAAAACTATATTTAGTGTGGAGAATAAATTGTAAACAGTAAAACATTAACTCTTTGCTCTTAATAGCAGTAAGTTAAGTTATAAAACAACATTGGAAAGGGTTAGGATCATGATAGAGTTTTAGACCTGGTCTTTATAGAAAAATAAGCTTATTAACTAAAATCATTGAAAAAAGATGGTGGAGAAAGTTTAATTTTATGTAGATAGGAATGACTCTATCTCAAGTATAAGAGATCCTCCATTAAAGATTGTAGAAGCTTTGGGGGAAATGAAATATATTATAAAATGTCATCCTTTCTGTTTTCCTATGTAACTCAAATGTTTATAACTGTTCTGACCTCCATACCAAGCCCTAAACAACAGAAGAAACTGCTTTAATATTGGTTACCATAGCACGATACATCACATCAGTACTGACACTCATTTCTTAACTACTGTGGGAAGTACAAAACTCTGGTCTTTTATTCTTCCATTTTAGTTTATTTATGTAAAGAAGGTAAGGTAGCATTGTACACTCCCCAGAACCCTATTGCAATTTGTCTCCAAAATTTAGCAATGTAACTTGCCATCAAAATTGTAGTGTTCATGCTTCCATTTAATAGGAAATAAATCCTTTCTTTTCTCCATTTTTTCATGCTTTTATCGTATGTGTTTACGTGTGTTTTAAATCTTTTTTGACTGATTAAGATAGTATTTTATTTTTATACTATACAAGCTATTTCTCTAGGTGTAATTTGCAATTTCTGAAAAATCTTTCACTGATGTAGGGCATCAAATTTCAATTACAAGATTTCCTTGAAGACTAAAAATCCATTGTTAAAAAGCATTGTTTCATATTGAAACATTAGTGTACATAATGATTAAGCACTATAAAAATCCAGCTAGGCTTTGGGAAGTGACTTTTTTCAAGTTGATTATTGCTATGAAGTACTTATCTGTGTGAACATGTATGTCCAAGTGATACCCAGTTTAGTCTAGGGATAATGCACCCGGAGGCTGTGAGTGCTTTAGGCGTGAGGTTGGGTGACTATGGGCCAGTCACTCTCTCTCAGCCCATGAAAGGAGGTTCAGGCAGCAAGCCAATCAGTCAATTCTTGTTGCAACCAATGGATCAACACTCTATTGGTCCAAAAACAAGTGGAGCCTGTACTTGCGTGATAACGCTAGGGGGAAAAAAGTGGTAAGCTTCTATCTATTATATATGTAATAATATATGGAAATTGTATCCTATTAAGTATTCTATTACAATAATTGTCAAGTGTTACATTTTTGTATAATATTTAAACAATCTCTAGAGTGTATTCCTATGGACATTTACTAGGAGTAATCCCTACTGAATACATTGACACCTACTTTTGAATAAACTTGCAAAAAAAAACACCCCTGTGCAGTCAAATCTATGAGTTATTTGAACATGCTTAAATGGTTTATTTCTGTTAATCAAATTAACATGCTAAGTGGAAAATGTCCTGATTCAAAGCAAACAAATAAACATTTATCATAAACATTGTCTATGCTAACCAGGATCAACTTAACTGTGCAATAAAATGTAAGTGTTGTTTTCACCCACAGCTGCTGATGCTTCCAGAAATCCCTGTGAAGAAATATATTGTGGATCTGCACCAGAATCTGAACCAGAAACTAAAGCAGTTGCTTCATTCATCCGTAGCCATCTTTCTTCAATCAAGGGCTACCTCACCATGCATTCCTACTCTCAGATGATATTGTTCCCTTTTGGTTATACCTATGAGAAGACAGCAAATTATAATGAATTGGTATGAAGGCATTGCAATTGTCCCATTTCCTAAAATTTCTAATTTGAGTTTGTCTTCTTTGTGCTCAATCAACACAATTCTCTAGCAATCTTGAGATGAAATCCTATCACCATTTTTCTCATGTATTAATCAAAGAGATCCACATCCAGAAATCCTAGGATTTCATGTGGCTTATCATTCCCATCAAAACTTAATACCAAATTGTTAAATTTAATGTGATGAAAGAAGAGTATTTTAATAAATGGCAATTGATTATAGGGACATAGTTTTAATTACCTATCAATAAATTAAATCAAGGTTAATTTTTGCCCTGCCCCCAATTTACTTCTTTGTCCTGGAAGTTTAATCCCCAAAATCTTATCCATCAGAATTTTTAATCACATACGGCACTTTTAGACCTGCCAAATATATAATAAGATCCAGAATATACAAGCTGCTTGAAATCTGCATTTCTCAGAATTTTGATATAATTCAAACTGTTCTTATAAAAATTGCACCCTAGGAACATTAGAACTGCACATTACTAGAACAAGCTAAAATTAGAATAATTCATATGAACATTTGTGTGATTTTTTTGCTGAATTCATAAGCAATGGAAATGTCCAGATGATGTCAATAAGATGAAAAACTCAGTGAAACACAATTGAGGTAAGCAAAATTCATCCGGGTATCCTAGATTCTGTGGCTCAAAAAAGCATATAGGAAGCTTACTTTTAAGACATATGTATTTTGCTCCAATTGATGCTGGTTTCTTCTTTGTTTAATACTAGAATGAACTTGCAAAAAGAGCTGTCAAAGCTATAGCCAGCCTATATGGTAAAGTGTATAAGTATGGAACATCAGCATCTACTATCTGTACGTATTTTACACATTGTTAAAAAACATATTACATCCTTTATAAGTCATGCTGGATAGTGATAGGGCAGTGGTGGCAAACCTATGGCATGGGTGCCAGAGACGGCACTCAGAGCCCTCTCTGTGGGCACGTGCACTGTCGCCCCAGTCCTAGGCCTTCAGCTGGGTTTTATAAAACCTTTTCGCTTTAGACCTCCGCCGCCGTGTGCAAAAAAAAAAAAGGTTCAATCAGTCAATTTCAACTTCTCGCAGGGAAAAAAATGATCTTGCAAAGTTGGAATTGATTGATTGAACTTTTTAGTCCAACCCAGTCTGCCGTTACCACTGCAGCCACCCTCACCCAATGGGCCACACCCACCCAATGGGCCACACCCACTCGGCACCCGACAATACATAAGTGGGTTTTGGATTGCAGTTTGGGCACTTGGTCTCTAAAAGGTTCGCCATCACTGTGATAGGGCTTTCTTCCTCTGCTTAGAAGAAAAAACAGTAGCATGGAGATGCAGCACTTGTGGAAAATACAGGTAATCCTTGGTTAATGATTATTTGTTCAAGGAATTATTTAAAGTCACAACAGTGAAGGAAACCTATGGCCGGTCCTTGAAGTTGCTTCCATTGCAGCATCGCTGCAATCAGAGATTACCACTTGCAACTTTCACTGCCAGCTTCCAATAGGCAAAGTGAATGGAGAAGGAGGCAAGTAGTTGCAAGTTGCAGTAAGTTGCAGTCACTTGACATTGTGCTTAATGATAGTGTACAATTCACTAAATAACTACAACCAGAACTGCCATCTTAAGTTGGCACATGATTTTTCACTTTCCAACCTTAGCAATGGAGTTACCAGTCTCAATTACGGTCATTTACTGAGGACTAACTGTACCATCTATAACATAAAAGAGCTGTTGAGTGTTTGCATATTCCCATAAACCCAATGCAATCTCTCTTGTAAGTATGTGCAAAGGAAGCCACCAAAAAAGTGACAAATAAGAAGATCCAAAGGTTTAGGTATCCTGAAAAGAGCTCATCTTTGACTTGTTGTGAGGGCCCTATATAGGGAATGGAGAGAGGAAAGACAGATCAAGATGGCTAAAACAGATGTGAGTGAAAATGGAGATAGCCCATGAATGCATAAAATTCCGTGAGTTTAAATTGATGATATCTCAAAGAGATTAATAATAGATCAATCCCACATCACTGATTTCAGGAATGTGTTTGTTTTTCTCCTTTTAGAAAAGAAGCAGGAAACTAAGCCATAGCAATAGACTAGTAATTAGACTTATACACCACTTCATAGTACCTTAAAGCACTCTCTAAATGGTTTACAGAGTCAGCATATTGCCCCTAACAATCTGGGTCCTCATTTTACGGTCCTTGGAAGGATGGAAGGTTGAGTCAATCTTGAGCCAGTCAGGATCAAACTGGTGGCAGTCGGCAGAATTGGCCTGCAGAACTGCATTCTAACCACTGCTCCACCACAGCTTCATAGAATTCCTATAGCATTCTACATAACTGTTTTTCCATCTACCTCTATTTTTATTACTGGCAGCAGCTTTCCAAATTGTGAGAGGGCTTTCATAACTTATGATTCCTGGTCCTATTTTTAAAATGGAAATAACTGATCTTAAACATTTGACTTTCCTCATGACTTCTACAAGTGAACAACAGTCTCCCCCTCTTAAAGTTATTCAAACACCAGTATCTTACCTTTACTTTTATTATTTTGTTTTTCTTTCTCTTTTTTCCCCTGCTATGTTTCCTGTCATTCTATTTGTTGTGCCTTGCTTTACAGATCTTTCTTCTGGTTGTTCCGATGACTGGGTATTCAACCAGGGGATCAAATACTCCTTCACCTTTGAGCTTCGTGATAAAGGCAAATATGGATTCCTTCTCCCTGAATCCCAGATCAAGCCAACATGCCAGGAAATAATGCTAGCAGTCAAGTTAATCGCCAGTTACATCCTCAACAAGGCTTTATAATTTGGACTAATGCTCTTGGATGCATTATAGATGTTTGGAAAGTAATACATCATCATTTATTACATGTAAAATATTTGTTTTGAATTTGAAAGCACTTTTGGGATCTGTGGTCCCAAGTCAATGCAAAACAAAGGCATTTTAGCTTCTTCAGTTTCAAGCATAAAATATAATTTCACAAACAGTCTTCCTGCAAACTTTATTCTAATTATGAGACACAGAGGGACATTCCAGAAAAGAAAGGTTTTTATACTTATCTTCAATATCTGTATAAATTGTGAATTAAGGAAAATGTATGGTTTTGGTTATTGAAAGACGTGTCAGTTAAGACAACTTGAATTAAATTAGCTATGGTATATATTTTCTTAGAATTAAATAGAAAAATAAAGGGATTTTCTTTTGTTTTTATGATTGTTTTGAATGAAAGTCAAATGGAACACCCAGTCCCTCATTAGAAATCAAAATGAAAGGAGGCCATAGTGTAATTTTTATAAGATGCACACAGCCAAATAATATTTTGGCATCTTGTGTGTCCCTTAGATTAAGTGGATATTTTTACAAGTGCAAATCACAGCTGAAGTGGAAGAAACCAGGACTGGACCATGTTGTACTGGATCAGATGTACTACCTTTTCTTTTGATGATGCTGAAAATTATTCCTTCATACTAAGCTTTTCTTTATATTGGAAGAAGTTTCACTGCTATAAATTGGAGTTTTTCTTGTAATGCAAGTAACATCTCCCAGAGGTGATTTTCACTGTAACAGGTCATGAGGGATAAAGATTAAACTCATCTTTCCAAATTCCTGTTGTTTCAATAGTGTTTTTACTTCTCATGAGAGCTATTTACAGGTGTAAAAACAGTCACACAAAATTAACATTATTTAGAATTATTGCAGCTATGTGCTACATTAAGCCATAATGTAGCTTGCTTCATTGTGATTTAATATATGCATGAGTCTAGCCAATCATTCCTTATTCAAGCAAACCTGTTAAACAATTCATGATGTATTATAGGTGAATCCAGTTACTGAATATGATAGTTTGGTTCTCAAAGATGCCAGTGGCAGCAAGGGCAGGAACTTTTTGCAGTCCCCAAAATTGTTTCAGAGGAATTCAGATGTACTGAGTACATAAGTTGTTATATTTTGTATTATCCTTAGTTTCAGAAAAAGATGCAGATATAAAACTTAAATCTAACCAAAAATTAGAATACTCAGATGGCTGTAAAGGGCAACTATTTATCTATGTGTTTTGTCCACTGGTTAAATTATAAAAACATTATGCATTCGTGCCTTTTCTCAAACCCATCTCTGATTACCTTTCTTTATAAAATTTATGGTCTCTTGATCATCTTCCTTGCCATGTTCTGAACCTGTCCCAGGTTCTCTGAAATTCATTTTAAAGTGAGATGTTCAGAATGGGACACCGTAGTTGATATTAGTCTGATGTCAGCAAAATAAAGTAAAAGTATTGCCTTCTGCTGTTTAAAAATTATGCTTCTGTTGATTTAACCCAGGGGTCTTCAAACTTGGCCCTTTTATGACTTGTGGACTTCAACTCCCAGAATTCCTCAACCAGGCACGCTAGCTGACGAATTCTGGGAGTTGAAGTCCACAAGTCATAAAAGGGCCAGGTTTGAAAACCTCTGATTTAACCTAAAAATGTATCCAGGCAATACCATTTAGATTCTACATGTTTTGATTGTCTAAGGCCAAGTGTAGTCATGTTCAACATGCAATTTTTGAAGTCTTTAAAAGAACTATAAGAAATTGTCTGATTTAATATATTGATCCCTTGCTTAGCCCAAGTATTCCAATAAACAATTAAACTATTTTCATATTTTAGGTTATTTTACAAAGTCAGTTTCTTTGGTGATTCAGGGTCAAAATGTTACTGCTTACCTATTATAGACCAAATGTGCCTGCCTGTTTTCAAGGCTGGAAATGAAGATATGTATTTAATAAACCCACATCCTAAAACTTGCCATGACTTCAGATCATTACTCTCCAAATAGACCAAGAAAGGGAAACAGTGCCATGGACCTGTTAAGTGTTAAAAATTGTCCTCTCATTCCCTGATCCATACTTGTCCAGACAGCACACTACACAAGCCAATAGAATTAGTCAGCAAATATTTGTTTCAGTTTCTCAAAGCCCTTTTGGAGTTCCTCCAGCATCTTTCTCATTTTACATTATCTCTTTTTCCCATGAATTTTCAGATTATTATCAAATTTCGTGATGTGGCAATTCATGATATCTATTCACAACTTTAAATGGCATAAAATTTAAATCTTCTCTAATATTTCACCTGCTTCAGTCTCTTTGAGGAAGGACTGCTGCTCCACTTCTTTGACTAAAGAAAATCAGTGGGGGTTTTCCTTGTTTTCTGCAATTTTCTGTCTGACCATCTCTGACTAAATCAATCACTTTATGGGTCCTGACCAGCACTGACATTTTTGACTGTGCATTGACTGAATCTTGCTATCTTGAAATGACCACACTTCCTTAGGTAGGTGCATTGTTTTGTTTTGAGTTAGTCAGCATTGCCCTCTGCTGGGTCTTGTTTTAAGCACACAGTTGTTAATTTTAATTTTTATTTAAAAGGGTGGATAGGAGAATAGGAGCTAAGGTGGTTGAGGTGGTGAACTTGTTCTCTGTGGAAGTCATTGTTTTTATTTATTTTGTTGGTTTAATTTCTTTTTGTGTAAGTATTTTTGTTTTATGTTTTTAATTCTAGGTACAGTTTCTTTTGTTCCTGGTTGGATTATTTTCATAATAATTCTTTGTAGCCATATATTATTTATCTGTATATCCATAATGCTACTTTTTAATGCTTTCAAGGGCAGCTTACTTTCTATGGTTTCTATGTATAATTATATTGTATTTAAATTTTTCATATGCTGAATTTAAGGATATTAAGTTGGAGTGTGAGCGGAATGTAAAATATCCTTAAACATAGAAGGATTCTACCTAGCTCTTTAAATATCTGATGTTATATTTTTGCAAGAATCTCATGTCAGAGAGGATGGAATATCTTTTTTCATCTGAAATAGGATGACCAAGTATTTCACAATACTTGCAGTATTTTCAACTTAAGCATATTTTAAAACTCAATATAGATCAGATACTTTGGCTACTTCAAAGGTATCTGAGATGCTGCAGTTGATGGAATCCATAACAGAAACCATAATATCTCTTTATCAAAAGTTGAAGAACATTTTTAAAGTGAATAATAGTGGGATATATCAAACATAGACCAAAGGATTAGATACACTGATCCCATCAATGGCTTCATGTTCTTAAAGATGTTAAAATGGTATTGATTAATTTCAGACTGGAGCTGATTCATCAAAAAAAAAAATATTTAGAGTGTATTGGACTCCCCAAAGGATGTACTTGAGATTTTCTCTGTGGGAGATGTAAAAAGGATTATTGACCCATATGCTATGTATGTGGGGGGTGGGTAGCTAAAAGGATAATATTGAGAAATTGGAACAATGACTTTACTACAGACACTAAAGATTGACTTTTAGAATTGTGTAAATATATCTGTTTCAGAAAAGACAAAATGTTCTACTAGTAAAAGTATGAAGAAATATCTTTTTCTATGGCATAAATGTTATAATATTTTATAATAATATTATAATATATGGTATTTGTGTAAAGCACTAGCCAATTGTCAGTTTAATGTATGATAGATTTGTTGTTTCCTTTTTTCACTCTTCTTTTTTTCCTCTTTTTTATAGTTTTTATTTTTATGGATGTTTAGTTTAATTTTGTCAGTATTCTGTATCTTGGTACTTTGCTTTATATTCTGTGCTCTTTTAAACTAAAAAGAAATAAAGTGAAATAAAACTAAAAACACAGTGTTATTCTAAAACATTTTAGCAATTTTAAATGGTAGTTTGCAAACATAATATATAGCATGAGAGGCTCTTGGGATCAGGCAGATGTACTTGGATGCCAACAAAATAGCTTCATGCATGTAATTTTTTTTTGAAGACGTAGAGAAAGGCAGAGCTGGGGGGCACAGAATCAAGTGGGTCATCAGCATAGAAATGGTATGTTGCCACAAGTGAACTAAGTTCAACACTTCTTGAATTCTGTTGAATCTTATCTGGTGCCAATTTAATATTGAACTTAGTTGACTAGATTCTTGTGTATAGGCTTGAGCAATAAATCTTTGAACTGCAACTTAATATATGGTCCTGGTCCTTGTGAAAAAATAATGTATTTTTGATGAAATTATCAACCTATTGTTGTTGTTAGTTGCGAAGTCGTGTCCGACACATCGCGACCCCATGGACATTTCTCCTGGCCTTCCTGCCAACCTATATAGTGTTTTTATTCTTCCATAAACATAAACTCAATAATTAAATCAACAGTGACACCCTGTGGCAAAAATTTATATTCTGCTTTAAAAGTAATATTTTAAAGTACGGGATGGAACATAGAGGTGGTCATAAATTAGGGACCACAATTGAGACTGGCAACTTAGTTGTTAAGCAAAGTGGTCACTAAGTGAAACAGCCATTCTGCTTATGAACTTACATTCTTCAAAACTTCAGCTTTCCTTTGCTTTACAGACCTGCAAAGGCTGAAAATGTGAAGATTGGTCATAAAGTTACTTTTTCATCAGCATCATAACTGTGAAGTCACTAAATGAGGCAGTTACTAAAAGAGGACCCACCTGTATTTAACAAAAAAGAAGATGAGCTTGATTTTGAAATTATCCTGCCCAGCAAAAGGAAGAGTGGCTAGAGTGTTTATGTGTATAAATGTATTTATATATGGAGAGAGAAAATATCTATATCCATCTCTATAGCTATCTCTGTCTTGATCTACATTATTTCCATATATATATTGGATGTGTGTGTGTGTTGAAGGCCCAGGTGATAATCCAGGAGACCTTTTATCCCAAATAAATTTATGCATGAGACGGAATTTGTACACCTGTGTGAGTATATTTATTCCAAAACATTCACACATGATTGATTGACCCA